TCAAAAATAAATGAATGAATGAATAAATCATTTAAAAAGAGAGAAAGAAACCCTAACCAAGACATATAGAGATAGTTTCCCCCAAACTAATACATACATTTCATACAATCTAATTCCAAAGGTGACTACTTGACATCATGGTTCTAAAGGTCATCTGGAACTCCTGTATGCAATGAGAATGTCTCAGAAAGCTGCCCAGCAAGCAGGAACCATTGTATTTGTATATTTTATCTGGATGTAATCTTGCCATTTATCTCAGGCTAAAATTGTGGGGGTTTTTGTCATCTCCAATATCAACTCCTAATGTTTCAAGTTTTTCTCTCTTATTGTTTTAGAACCCAGAGAACCTCTGCGTCTGCACTCTCCCGTCACTCAGGGGTCTGAGCACGCACTGCGCACGCTCGTGCACACTGCACACGCTCGTGCACACTGCACACGCTCGTGCACACTGCACACGCTCGTGCAGGAGGTGTCGGCAGACAAAGGCAGCCTCGCTTCCCACTGTCACTTGTTATACTTGGCTTTCTACCCGCAGGTGGGGTTTAGACATTGTAAGTTTGTCATTCTTGCATACGTTTGGGGGACTAAGTTTTCCAAAGTGAAAAGAGCAGAAAGAAGGTGTAAGAAAAGATCTGGTCTGAAGTTAGAAGCATGTAGAGGGATGGGGAGGTGAAGAGCCCCGGCCAGCTTGAGCTCACTTTCAAAGGTAGCATTGGATGACGTAGGTTTGAAATGTGTAGGTATTTGTGGAGCAGTAAAGGACACTGAAGCTGGACAAGAGCTTCAGATGCCAGAGCTGAGTTGGGCACAACCGAGTCTACAACCCACACTAAAGAGCAATTGGAGATGGACATGAAATGCCAGCTTAAAGGGGGAAGAAAGTTCTCCCAGGGAAAGGAAAGGTAGCTTTCCTGACTTTATCCTTTGTTTACGGGAGGCACATTCTTGGGAATGTCCTTGTGTGCTTGCAAAGGATAGGGAATGTGTGAGGCGCGACACGGCCTTGAAATACGTGTCACATCTGAGCTCTTTGGCACTGAAAACAGCTGCGGCATTTTTAAATGTGGAAATTTGTAAAGAAAAAAAAAAGGAATAGGTGAGGTAGACGGGTATCTTGTATGCTTCGTGTTTGGTTTGAGGCATGCCTGAGTTTAAAGACTCAGCTAATTGCTCTAAGCGTCCTCATCTGTGGGAGCTGGGAAGGCTGGTTGACGGAGGCAAATCCAAACCAAATGTAGCCGAGTTTACATTGCATTCGGAGTACCAAAGTGGGGCGGCAGCATCTAGGGACTGACCAGAGGCAAGAGCGGGTGTGACCAAGCTGAAGTGAAGGAAGAAGAAGGTGACAGGAGCAGGCACCCCCTTTTCTTCTGACCCAGCGGTCTTCTCTCTGGAACTGGCTCTGCAGACACAGTAGACCCCAGTCTGGTTAGGGAGTCTTTCGAATCCCTCCTGGAACCACATTTGCCCCAGTTCCAGTCAGAACTCACACGCGTGTGGAAACCTGTGGTGAGACAAGGCTCTAAGAGAATGGTCACAGTGCCTGTGCACACTGGAGAAGAGGCTCCTCATCGCCAGCACCGTGTGAAGACGGGAGCATATGTGAACCCAAGATGGCCCTCAGACGGTGGTCCCCACCCCCAGGGCAAAGGGAAATGATCTGCTTCAAGGAAAGGAGACCGAATGAAGTGTGTGTGTGTGTGGGGGGGGGTGCTGCACATGAGCACTAATAAGAAAAAGTCAGGTGGTAAGGGTAGCACATCTGGCTAATTGGTCACAGACTGTAAGTCCCCTCAAGCATCTTTCCATCCAACCACATCTGCCCTCCCCACTTAGAAGGGCCTGGACCTGCAGAGGAGTGTTTGCTGGGCTGCGTGCCACTCAGGCCTAGTGGTCTCTAAAGTGTGTCTGCTTACAGATGCTTAAGAGAGAGCAGGCGGGAGAGGCTGGAAGGGCACTCTGGGGAAACCTGGGGTCCTGCTTTGCACTGCCGGGAACTCTCTCTCCTGTGCCCAGTGCCAGGCCTGGAGCAGGAATGCAGAGGTTGGAAAATTTTGTCCCCTCCACCTCCCAGGCCTGCACTTGCACACACTGTCTGCAGTCCTTGGGAGTCTTAGCTGCCCAGAGTCCTGCTCAGGAGCACAGGACACCAGGGAATCCGTTCCTGCTCAGGCTCTAGAAACAGTGTTCTCCTAGCCAGCTGCGTTTCCAGTGTGGACAGAGACTAAAGATGAGGATAACCTTGACTCAATAGTAACACACCTGTGGAAGGGCACGCTGTGCTGAGTAGAGCGGAGCGGGGGAGGGCAGAAAGGGCTTCTTTGTGTCATCGGGTTATCCTTGCCTAAGGGACTGCCCCAGCTGGCCTTGTTAAGTACACAAAGGTAGCATTGTCTGTAGGCATGCTGCTTAATATACAGTAGGGTGTCCTCTCTCTCTCCTCTCTCTCTCATATACACCCACACCTTTTTTTCTTTTTTTTTTTTCTTCTTCTTCTTTTTTTTTTTTTTCAGACAGGGCATTGCTGTGGAGCTCCAGCTGGTCTGGAACTCACTATATAGCCCAGGCTGACCTTGCCTGAGTACATAGATTGCAGGTAATATGCCAATATGTCCAGCCTCCTCTTTTCTTTATAAAGTGCTTCTGATTGTGTCCCTGGCTACTAGGTAGACATTTATTGAGTACGTGCTGATGCCCAGTCAGTCCTGTGGCTCTGGCTTCTAGTCAGCTTGTACAGGCAGTCACAGTCCTGAAATTGAAAGTATTCATATTCATTCTCTCAAAACGTCTCTCTTTCCCTCCTGTCCCCTCTCTCTTCTTTGTTCTTTCTCCTCCTTTTAGGCTTCTTCTAATGTTAAGCTTATGTGGTATTTGAAGTAGGTGGAGAATAGTTCCATTAAACAGCAGCTAGGCCTCCATTTTCAGTTCTCAGGGTGAATTTCCGTAGCCATGTGACTGCTTTGGAGCAATATTCACTTTGCTTTGGTAAAAGTCTGTGCATATACTACCAGGCTCTATGCAGAATGGTAAGACGCGCGGACACAGTTCAGAACTGCAGTTAGGGGAGGCCAGTGTGAGGAGGCGCAGCAAGTGCTGGGCACCGTGCTGCAGGCGTCAGAAAGTACCACGCGAGGATCAGAAAACTGACGAGATTCTCTTCTTTCAAGGAGTCCAAAGGTCTATGGAACAGACAGACTTATTCTTTTTAAATTATGTCTGTAAAGTCTTATGGGTTCCAAGATGAGATCTTTTTCTGTAGGGTGCAAGGGGGAAGTGGCCATGGTGAGGGAGGGGAGCTTTGTAGAAGAGGTAGCCGAAGCACTAGTGAGAAAGAGGGCTTCTGGATATGACGGAGTGCAGTGCTCACGAGCTCACAGCAGGTGTAGTCGACACATTCCAGTATAGTGAGGGAGGGGCTCTGGAACCCCACCCCAACCGAGGAGCTATAGACCGTTGATGGCGTCTTGGGAGGAAGATTCAGTTTTCTTTCAGGGTGTGTCCTCTGATAGGTCCAACCAACCATGTTTCTGTAGCCCCACACCCGTGAGTATATGTGCTATATAAATTGGACTGAGTGGATTATTTTTAAAATGACACGTTTGGGAGGTAGAGGGGTGGGTTTCAGAGGAGTTAGGGGTAAGAATGGAGGTGAATATAATAAAAATACACAAAGTTCTTGAAGAATTAATAAAATATTATATTTTAAAAAATATAAAAGAAGAAGCTGACTGGTGATTGTTGGATAAAGGCTGGAGGGTGTCTAGGCCACAGCTCATGGTGTTAGTCACTTGAGCTGCTGGAAAATCCAGGAAGTATGGCTTAGAAACAACAGAAATGGGGGCTGGGGTGGTAAATCCATCATAAAGTATGTCCTGAGCTCACCCTCCGCACTTAAAGCCAAAACAAAACACACAGAATTGGCTTCTCCCACAGGCTCTGAAACTGGACTCCAAGCCCAGGGTGCCAACAAGATTGGTTTCTGGTGAGGGCTCTCTCCTTGGGTTGTATATGGATGTCTTCTTGCTATGTTCCCGGGACATCTCCTTTCTACACAGTCAGAGAGAAAAAGACTCTTTAGTCTGTCCTGTTGCCTTAGTGCCCCAACCTATGACCTCCTTTAACCTTTCCCTCCTTAAGAACCCTGCCTCCAAATACAGTATCACGAACAGACAGCGCCTCATCGTATGTATTTTGGTAGAGCAGCTTGTGTAGGTTCCCATTCCTCCTGACACCTCCCCGCTGAAGTGTCCTGTACCCTTGTGCTTAAGACTCTTTTGTTGCATAGTCTGCTTGCACCCAGGAAATCCTGAGTAATTCAGTTTCCAGTGAGCCTCACGCTGTCTGTTCTGAAGTGGGTCAGGCTGCTGATGTTCTCCTTCATGAACCGTCTGGCTTCAGATGCTGTAGCGCCATCCGAAGTGGCCGTGATGGAGGTCTTTCCTTCCATGCAGGGGTCTTCTGTTCCTGCGACTCTGTTCCGTTTTCAGCCCCCCTGAATCCGTTATATAGGGTCCAGTATGGAGTTCTGCGTGCACCGCACACAGCGGAGGCGGGGAGCTCAGAAGGAGGGGCTTCCCTTTCTCCACAGGCACCACTAGGCTCTCAGGCATACACTCCTGTTTGATAGCATCCTGCCTTTTGCTGGCCCCAGGGCCAAATGAGCAGGATGTGGTGGCAAAGAGCACTGGAGTAGGTGTCAGAAGACCCAAACCCAAGTCCGTCTGTGGGCTGGGACACTGATCTTCATCATTTTCTTCATCTGTAAAATGGAAAACAAATACGAACATGGCTGTGAATTATAACCCATTAGGAAAGTTAGACATAATACCCTGGGTTACTCCAGAGCAGAGTCAATACTGAATGTGAAGACAGTTTGCAGATGACGGCCTCTTTATCCCAGTATTTCTTGTGAGATCATCAAGCGATCTCATCCCCCCTCTTCTGTGTATATGTACCCAAAAGACATTAATCTGGTCCATGACAGTTCTTCAAAACTGCTGCATGAAACTGAACTGCCTCTTCCTATGTTCAAATTATAATAATTTAGAAAAGAAAAGCAGCCTCTAGCATTCCTGACCTTTTGAGCCTTCCCAGACAGATTAGAGATGGCGAACAAATGCCTTCCCCAGGATCGCAGTAATCAAGCGGCCAGTGTGAGGCTTCTCAGGTCTAACTTTCTAAGTCGGAATCCAGTTCCTTCATGAAGTGGCTGGTGACCCTGGGCATCCCTTTCTTCTGCCTCTTTAGCAGTACCAAGGATGTTGATGGTAACTGCTAATGCTGGATTTAGAAGGATTAAATTGACTCTAACACATACAACCTCAAGAATAATGTTTGGCACTCTGTATTTTCTTTACCTGCCCAGTAAACATGGAAGCGTATGACTCTTTATCTCCCAAGTATTATTCAGTGTTTCTACCTGTATTAGTTAGTCTTCATATCATTGTGATGAGCGACCTGACAAGAAGAGCTTATGGAGAAGGGCTTATTCCTGGCTTTGGTTTAAGGGGATACAGTGAAGTATGGCAGAGAAGGCACAGACAGGAGTGTGAAGCCATTGGTCACATTTCATCTGGCTTCCTTTTTTTTTTTTCCTTTTTATTGAGTCTTGGATCCTAACTGGTGGGATAACGCTGCCCACATTCGGGGTGGGCTTTTCCCTCTCAGTTAGCCCTCTCTGAAAGTACTCCCACAGATATACTGAGGTGTGTCTCATGGGAGAGTCCAGATCCCGTCAAGTTGACAACAAGCACCTCTTGTCAATTTGACACCCAAACACATCAGTTTTATTCAGGAACATTTTACCCTCAAAGGCTTGTGGCCATCTCAGGGTGCAAAGTGCATTTAGTTAATCTTTAAGAGTCCCCAAAGTCATAAGAGGCTCAACAATATCAAAAGGTCCCCCAAAATGTCCAGAGTTTCTTTAGAGACCCAAGACAATCTCCTGAGTTAGCCCCTATAAGATAAGAAACAAATTGCATGCCTCCACTATACAGTGGTGTATATGCCCACCCCAGAAAGGAGGAACAAGGACATGGCAAATGAAGATCATACGAAGCAAGAGCAGAACCATGGAGGAAACCCACCTGCTGTTCTTTGTATCTGGGCATCTCCAGTTGGTAACAGCATCACCTGGGTTCCAACAGGCCTTTGCAGCCCACCCTTCTAGTTCTGCAACTTGCACTCCATGCTGCCTCTTTCTTAGGCAGTTCTGCTTCATGCCTGGCATCCCTGACTCTTGGGCTCCCTGCTTCATCGCCACAGCTTCATGCAGTGACCCCTCGAGGTGGGGCGGGGCTCCTTCCGGGGAATCCCACAGTTCTGCCATATATTGCCTGACTTCAGTGACTTTCTAGAACATCAGTACAAACTTCCATGACCTTGTAACTTACATTCCTGCAAACCCCACACTTTGTGGTTAACATTGCCAAGTTCCGTTGCCAGCTTGAAGCGTGCTCTGGCCCCTTTTATTCTGCCCCTCTTGTGGCCTCTGTGCGCTTTGGCTGCTGAACCTGGGGAAACAGTTCCTTAGCCAGTTGTTCTCAGCCAGGAGCCCTGTCAGTGTAATTCTCAGTTCAGGCTCTCTCCTTTTGAATTAATTAGCATTTCACAAGGTGGCCCTCCACTTGGTAGAGTCTTTAGGGCACCAGGCTTCTCTTTAATAGAGCTAATTTCTTTTTTAAAACAATTTTAAGTTAATTTTGTTTGTATGCATATGTATGTGGGTACAGGCATGCATGTGGAGGTGCATGGGCAAATCTGAAAGGCCAGTTCTCACCTTCTGCCTGATTCAAGCAGGGTCTCCCTGTCTCTGCTGCTATGCTGCACACTCTAGGCTAACTGGCCCGTGGGCTTTCTGCCAGTTCTTCTGTCCCTGCCTCCTACCTGCCATAGCCATGCTGGGCTGAAAATGCCCACCACCATACCCATCTTTTTAAATCAGGTTCTGCGGCTTGCACTCAGGTCACCAGGCTTGTAAGGCAAACACTTTCACGCTGTGCCATCTCCCTGGTTCAGGTAGAGCTGATTTTTTCAACAGTGGCAGCTGCTTTCTCTATGCCTTTAAACTCACCCTCTTTCCTTGCCAGCTGCACATCTGTGGCTTTCTGTTCCTTTTTTTTTTAACTATAGATCTAATTAAGAGTAGTGACCCAGGCTTTGGTGGCACATGCCTTTAATCCCAGCCTAGTCTACATAGTTCTAAACCAGCCAATATGAGTTACTGCCTCAGAGGAAGGGAGGGGGGAGGGAGGGAAGAAGAGAAAGAGATAGAGAAAGGGAGGGGAGAGGGAGGGGGGGGGAGAAAATCGTGAGCAGTAACAGCGCAGCTCAGACTTACACTATCTTGAAATTTCCTCCACCAAACAACTTAGTCTTTTGCTTTTGAATTCAGGCTCACTCAGTTTTTCAGGACACAGCCAGATTCTCTGCCAGAAGTAGTATGAATAGTCTCTGAGTCCCTCCCCTCTCTGAAACCTTATGGGCTGGGCCTCTGCTATTTGCATTTCTCTCAGATTCCTGTCTTCCAGGCTCCCACCAGAATGGCCGCTGAGCTCTGCTGACAGCATTCTAAGGTTTGTTCAGCCACAGCTCCAAAGTCATTCGCATTTTTCACATAAACCTATTGAAGAAACCTAGAACCACGTGCACAGGTTCGTCACAATGACACCTCACTTCTGGAACCTGTATTCTGCATTAGTTACTTTTCTCACTGCTGATAAAACGGCTAACAAAAACAAGTTTGGAAGGGTTTATGTTACGTCATGGTTTATGGAGGCATAGCCCATCATGGCAGGGAAGACATGGTGTCAGGAGTATGATGTCTCTGGTCATATTGCATCTGCAGTCAGGGAGTGGAGAGATGAAAGCCCGTGCTCAAGTGGCTTTCTTTTTATTCAGCCCATGGGATGATGCACCCACATTTAGGGTAAGTCTGCTCTTCTTAGGCAAACCTCTGGAAACACCCTCACAGCACCATCTGAGCCATGTCTCATTGGCGATGTTAATGCAATCAAGTTGACAATGAAGATTAACTATCATATAAGCCAGTGTCATAATTACGTAAATTGAATTGAGATTTGCTTGACCAAGCACTGTCCTGATGAAAGCCTTCATATACTTTCTGTGTTCTCCCTTCTCACTCAGTTACTTGAATTCATCTTGCAAGTGGCCTCTGCTTGCTGACCAAATGTGAGGCCGTGGGTTTTGGGAGAACAGACAGACATTTAGGTGGTTGTTTTTGACATTTAGGACACAATCTAAACAGTAAGTTCTAGAACTAGCTCAAGGATAGTCAGGGAAGGGAAGGCTCACTAGCTTGGTGGGAAAGTCTGTCATCTCTAGACTAGGTTAGCTGAGGGAAATGATTTGGCAAGGACTGGTGAGCCAGAGCTAAGAGCTGTACCGTGGAAGGAGCCCATGCCCAAGTGTAGAGGGGGCCTTCTCCGTTGGAGGTGAGAAGAGGAAATGTGTTGTAGGCCTGCAACTCCAGCACACTGGGCTGTCTGATAGGCAGCTAGGGGAGCACGTAATTGCACTCCCTTGGTTTGACTGTGGAAATCCATTGTTGTGAAGCCTGGTGTCTGTTAGGAAAGAGTCAAGTTTAATAAACAGATTCTAGTTTCATTCCATGCTCTGGCCTGGCAAAGCACTCTTAAGTATATGGACCCAGACCCAGTTGGTTACGTGTGCCTGTTACTCCTTCCACCCCAGCCTGCAGGGGTGCATCCTCAAAGCTGCAGAAGTAGAGCTCCCTAACCCGCAAGCACCAGAACTGCCGGTGGGGTCACGTCACTAACTTTTAAGACACCCTTATGGAATCCCTGCTTTCAGTGACTGCTGGTCTGGTATGCTTCTTTGACTGGATAAAGGGTTTGCCCGATGGGGAGGGACAGCAGCCATCCACTTGGGGGCCAGTTCTGTACCTCCTTGACTCACTGTGCCTCTGCACTCAACTCGAACGCCTTCTTCCTGAATTCTAGTTCTGCTCTGTTTAGTTGGCAGTACCACATCCAACACTCAGAAACACATAGACACATGAGAAAAACAACCCCGCTTCCCCTTAGTTCAACTAAGGCAAGGCTGGAGGGATTCAAAAAGTACTTTTCCTTGGAAACAGCAGCAAAATATACACAAAAGCATAAATAAGTGGATAAGTTCATGGAGGTTAGCCTGCAGAGCAAGACTTAGCAATGAAGACTGGCCAGCAGTACTTGCAGACTAGCCAAAGTCTAAATTCTTCCCCCACCCCAGTCTCTAAGAATTCTATAAAGCAAAGCTACTCAAGACAGCCCGGCTTTTAGCCCAAGATAGATTTGATTTATAGTTGTAACCTATGTATTACAAAGAAGACATGAGGGAGCTTATAATAAAAGATGTGTATATACATATAAAGTCTCAAAGCTGTTAGGAAGACAGAGAAGATGTTTAAATGTGGAAGAGAACATAAATAGGATGTATCAAATCCTTTAACTGATGCCTTCTCTGAGCATTAAATCTAGTACTGAGAGTAGAATCCTGGAAAACCAATCAAAGAGGGAAATATAATGTACACACAATGATAAAGGAAGGGGGGGGGGCATGGTTTTCCAAGAAAGGCAAGCTTTTTCCTTGTATCAACTATTTTGCACAGTAAGAGAAGTATGTAATTCTATGATGCACGGTAAGAATGCACATGACTCCTTCCGTTTGGTTAATGGCCACATTTGTTTGAGTTGACCGTACTTTATCATTATTATTATCATTAATTACTTTAAAGAT